TGTGCTGCCCGTTGGTCGCAATTTTATTTCTGATACTTTTATAAATATCAGTGTTTCTAAATATTCATTTTTTACGGGACAAACTTCTTTCAGAAAATTCCAAATGGTTCATTTCCTTGGTTCCATCAGACAGGAGAGGTGAATTTGGTTGGTTCCATCATCTTGGCATGGCAGCTACAATTGGAAAGGTGATAAGAATGCTTTTCTTGGGTGAACGTCCATTTTTATCTCAATCTAGTCCTGCGTCGGTTGATTTTTGTATTGATTTAAAGACCTCCTGAAGGCCGCCTTAAGGTCTGCGTTCCTCAAGCCGTAGATCAGAGGATTGAGCAAGGGGTTAATGAGGGCATATATCACCGAAATCAGTTTGTTCACACCAAGCAGATCGCTGGAGGTGGGAACCAAGTAAATAAAAGTGATGGAGCCATAGAAGATGAAGACCACCAAGAGGTGTGATATGCAGGTGGAGAATGCTTTGATCTTCCCAGTCTTGCCACGAATTTGGAGAATCGTGTTGAAAATACAGACATATGGGATGAATGTGAATAGAAAGGACGATAACGAGACACCGCCGCCCAATGCGAAAACCAGGACTATGTTTATAGTGGGGTCTGTACATGTAATCTGGAACAAATGCGGAAGGTCACAGAAGAAGTTGTGGATGGAATTTGGACCACAGAAGGACAACCTGAGCAAACTAAGAGTATGAACCAAGGAATAAATACACGCAAAGACCCAAATCGCAACGGCTAAATGACGGCACACCCTCCAGGACATGATGAGTTTGTAATGTAGGGGGCGGCAGACGGCCACGTACCGGTCATAGGACATAGCCGAGAGCAAAAGGAACTCAGAGCAAGCAAAGTAGACAAAGAAAAAGACTTGGGCTACACAGGAAGGGAAGGGTATTGAGCGGTTTTTGGTGACCAAGTCAAAGAGCATCCTTGGTCCACTCACTGATGAATAGGACATGTCCAGAAAAGCCAAATTGCTGAGAAAAAAAAACATTGGGTTGTGCAGATGGTGGTCAGTGAGGACCAAGAAAAATATAAGAAGGTTTGTGATAAGAGTCATCAGATAGATCAGAAGGAAAAGCCCAAAAAGTGCATTCATGGTCAGTGGATGGTCTGATAGACCCACAAGAGTGAAAGAGGTCATCTTAGTAAGGTTCATCATATTCTCTATTCCTTCTCAGTACAAATGTGTCACCAAAAAACACAAACAAAACGCTCAGTCTGAGAAATTACGAATAGGAAAACACGCACGGCGGTCGGCCCACACAGAATATTCCAGATTCTGTGCAGATATTTGCTGTAGCTGATAACTTATATAGATATAAAATGTTGGCGGTCCCGCAGGACAGGCTGCTGTGCTGGAAGAATACAAAACTTGGAGGCTTGTTAAATGTCTCCTAAGATTTAATTTGAAACACGTTTGCCGCTGGAGAGCCCTTCATTGTATAAAAATAGGTTTAACATTTATAAAATAAAAACTACTGAAGCTCTATAAGCTCTATTTTTCTTTAATCGTGTTTTATTTCTTGGTTATATTGGTGTCAATGTGTACAAAAAAACTTGAAAAAGATAACAGTTGCTGATTTTCTTTTAGCTCTTTTATTTTGTCATAATAATAATAATAATAGCAATATTATTATTATTATTATTAGTAGTAGTATTATCATTTAATATTATTATTAGTATTAGTATTATCATTAACATTATTATTATTATTATTATTATTATTATTATTATTATTAGTATTATCATTAACATTATTATTATTATTATTATTATTATTATTATTATTATTATAATTATTATTATTATATTATCATTAATAATATTATTATTTATTATTATTATCATTAACATTATTATTATTATTATTATTAATATTATTATTATGATTATTATTATTTATTATCATTGATATTATTATTAGTATTATTATTATTATTATTATCATTATTATTATTATTATTATTATTATTATTATTATTATTATTATTATTATTATCATTAATATTATTATTAGTATTATTATTATCATTAAATTATTATTATTATTATTATTATTAATAATATTATTATTATTATTATCATTAATATTATTATTTATTAGTATTATCATTAATATTATTATTATTATTATTATTATATATTATATTATTAGTATTATCATTATATTATTATTAGTATTAGTATTATCATTAATATTATTATTATTAATTATTATTATTATTAATATTTATTATTAATAATTAATATTATTATTAGTATAATCATTAAACATTATTATTAATATATTAATTAATATTAATAATATATATTATTATTATTATTATTATTATTAATATTATAATATTAATTAATTAGTATTAATTATTATTATTAATAGTATTATCATTAAAAAAATAATAATATTATATTAATTATTATTAATGATAATATTATATTATTAATATTATTATTAATAATATTAATAGTATTATCATTATTATTATTAATAATATTATAATAATAATATATTAATAATAATTATCATATACATTATTATAATATTAGTATATCATTGATAATAATAATAATATATTAATTATAGTATAATAATATTAATAATATATTATTAAGTATTAGTATATCATTAAATATATAATATTATTAATAATAATTATAATATTAGTATTATCATTATATAATTATTAGTATAATAATTATATTAAATTATTATTATTAATATTAATATTATTATATTATATTATTATTATAATATTATCATTAATATTATTATTATTAATTAGTAATTATTATTATATTATCATTGATAATATTATAATTAATTAGTATAATATTATCATTAATAATATATTATTATTAATTATTATTATTAATATTATTATTATTAAAAATAAATATTAATAATTATTATTATTAATAATAATAATATATTTATGATTAAATAATATTATTATAATAATAATAATAAGTATGATCATTATAATTAGTATATTAATTAATATTATTATTATTATTATTATTATTAATATTAATAATAATAATAATATTATAATAATTATTATAAATTAATTAATACAATTAGTATTATAATATTATAATTAGGAGGACAGCTTATTATTAGTAATTAAAATATTTTTATTATTAATAAAGTATTACATTAATAATTATAATAATAAAATAATAGTATTATAATTCTATCATAGTATCATCAACAATAATATAATAATATTATTATTATTAGTAATAATAGTAATAATAATTAATAATCATACTAATAACAATAAAAAGAACAACAGTAATAATATTAAGGGAGGACAGCTTGTCATAATAATAAAATATGTTTATTAATAATAATGTAACAATAATATAAAATAATAATAATGCTAATCATCATCATCAACATAATACTAATAATAGTAGCATCACAAAAACAAAAGTTGCTGATTTTCTTTTAGCACTCATTATAAGAGAGAGCCTGACATTGCCCCTTGCCCCCCACCTGGGAGAGAATTCCACTCCCCCCCCCCCCCCCCCCCCCCCCCAGGCAACTGAGAGACACTCATCTTCACAGCTCTAAACATCCCCGGGAACAGGGGCGGACTGACAACTCATGGGGCCCCCGGGCAATAGGGGATCATGGGGCCCCCTGTGTCCTTGCCCAAACTCAAAAAAGCCTATGAAAAAGGTACCAGGGGCATCTCATGGGGCCCCCTACTGACCCTGGGCCCTCGGGCAGTGCCCTAGTTTCCAAATGGGTCCGCCCCTGCCCAGGAATGAATGCCAGGCTCTACATACACCATCAAGTAGCCGGCAGCCTCTCTCAGATCCCACCTGGTTTCCCATGGTGTTTTTTCCTTTCTTTTATCCCTTCTTCTGGGGGGAGGTGCTGCCCCCCTGAAAAATACCTGCCCTAGGCAACTGCCTTATTTACCTCGTGGTAAATACGCCCCTGGCCAGGAGTCTCAAACACTGCCGCAGACCAGGTCATACACAGCAACCGGGAAGCAGGGGACTCCATGGAGTGCATGGCTGACCGGACGTGATGCCACATGCCATAGGAGGCATGGCTACAGGTTTCTAGGCCACCCAGCCTCTTTCTCAAGCCTGCCCCATTCAAGCAAGACCAATCTACTCCACAAAGTGGGACAACAAGGTGCACAGCTACACTTTTTCAGGACCAGGAATATTAAATATTGCCTTTTATGGACTTTTACCATAAAAATGTAGAGCGCTCTGTCTTCTTTGGGCCTATTCACTCCAATGTCAATGATCACATATAGTTACATAGTTACATAGTTAGTCTGGCTGAAAAAAGACAAAAGTCCATCCAGTTCAACCATTAAGTTATAATCCTACACCCACAGTGGATCCAGAGAAGGAAAAAACCCCCCAGCAAAGCACGATCCAAATTGCTCCTGCAGGGGAAGCCTTCCTTCCTGATCCCCCGAGAGGCAATCAGATATTCCCTGGATCCAGGTTCCCTATAAATGTTATATCCAGTTATATTCTGTGTATCCAAGAAAGGATCCAGGCCCAGCAGACGTTCCTGGTGACTAGCTGTGGGCTGCAGCCCAATCGAACGCAATGGAAGCTACCAAAGATAATGGCGGCAGCTTGCATGTAGTCACTTATGGAAGGATTACCTGCGAATATTCGGACACAGGAAGTCTGCGGCCGGGGCCGATCATTCACAGGGGATCGTTCTATCAGAATCACAGCCTGCAGGGTCAGGTGAGGGGATGTTGGCTACAGAATCCTCTTTGAAGGCTGAGTTTTTTTCATTCTAATTGACACATTGGTTAGGTTGGTCTGGGGATCTAAGCTTCAGCAATCTGCGGCTGTCATGTAGAATTCCATGAAAAAAGCTAACTACTCTTAAAACTGGCCCCTCCCCCCTCTTAACACCTATTCTGAGTAACCTGTATAAGGAAAATATACGTACAGTATACACTATATTGCCAAAAGTTTTGGACCCCACCCTCCCCCTCCAAATCATGTGATTCAGGTGTTCCAATCCCCTCCATATCATGTGATTCAGGTGTTCCAATCCCCTCCCAATCACGTGATTCACGTGTTCCAATCCCCTCCATATCATGTGATTCAGGTGTTCCAATCCCCTCCATATCATGTGATTCAGGTGTTCCAATCCCCTCCATGGACACAGGTGTATACAATCCATCCCGTAGGCATGCAGACGGCTTCTACAAACATTGGTGAAAGAATGGGTCGCTCTCAGGAGCTCAGTGACTCCAAGCGTGGTCCCGTGATAGGTGGCCACCTGGGCAATAAGTCCATCCGTGACATTTCCTGGCTACTAAATATTCCACGCTCAACTGTTAGTGGGATTATAACAAGGTGGAAGCCACTGGGAACAACAGCCACTCAGCCACCAAGTGGTAGGCCACGTCACATGACAGGGCGGGGTCAGCGCATGCTGAAGCGCGCAGTGCGTAGAAGTCGCCAACTGTCTGCAGAGTCAATAGCTAAAGACCTCCAAACTTGGTGTGGCCTTCAGATGAGCCCAACAACAGTGCGTAGAGAGCTTCATGGAATGGGTTTCCATGGCCGAGCAGCTGCATCCAAGCCTTCCATCACCAAGTGCAATGCAAAGCGTCGGATGCCGTGGTGTAAAGCACGCCACCACTGGACTCTAGAGCAGGGGAGATGTGTTCTCTGGAGGGAGCAATCACGCTTCTCTGTCTGGCAATCCGATGGACGTGTCTGGGTTTGGTGGCTGCCAGGAGAATGGTACTTGCCTGACTGCATTGTGCCAAGTGTAAAGTTTGGTGGAGGGGGGATTATTGTGTGGGGGTGTTTTTCAGGGGTTGGGCTTGGCCCCCTAGTTCCAGTGAAGGGAACTCTTAAGGAGACATGCACAGAGTCCTGACCTCAACCCCATAGAACACCTTTGGGATGAATTAGAGCGGAGACTGCGAGCCAGGCCTCCTCCCCCGACATCAGTGCCTGACCTGACAAATGTGCTTCTGGAAGAATGGTCCAACCTTCCCATAGACACCCTCCTAAACCTTGTGGACGGCCTTCCCAGAAGAGTTGAAGCTGTTATAGCTGCAAAGGGCGGGGCCAACTCAATATTGAACCCTACGGACTAAGACTGGGGGCAATTAAAGGTCATGTGTGTGGAAAGGGCGGGGCCAACTCAATATTGAACCTTACGGACTAAGACTGGGGGGCCATTAAAGGTCTTGTGCGTGGGAAGGGCGGGGCCAACTCAATACTGAACCCTACGGACTAAGACTGGGGGGCCATTAAAGGTCATGTGTGTGGAAAGGCCGGCGGCCCAATACTTGGAGCAATATAGTGTATGTTAATAAATGATAATAGCTTGCACTGTTGTCCCACACTCAGAGGAGAACCTTTTTATGTGTTTTGCCCATGTGGGGGCATAACGTGGACACGTGTTAGAGGGTTGTCCCATGGGTAGGGGACAATAGCGGAAGCCATTTTTAATTATTTATCAAGCAGGTTCACAGTGTGCTGGGACTGAGCACAGATGGGCGCCATTTTCTTTGTACATCCTAGCATACTTTGTTACATTTTACTTCATTGCTGTGTTTTCCATCTTTGCAACTTTTATTTCAATGAAAGGAGTTCTCTGGTCACGGCCTGAGCTTCTATATGAACACATTTATTAACATCAGCATTCTAATAACAATACAAACAACAGTTATTACTGACAATCCACAATAAAAATCACAAGCACAAAAAAAAAAGTTATTGGAACTCTTTAGGTGCCAATAAACATAAAAGATACAATAAACAAGTCTTTATTATAAAGGGATTGAACAGACTTTACATACGAATGAATGATAATGGACACTTGAACCCAAATACACTTGTGTTAGGATGGACTCCAGATTTCATTTCAAAACTCCACTTATCCATACGAGGCGGATACAAATCTTTATTCATCATCCGTGACTTCAACATGTTCAAAATGTAAATAAATGTAAGGTTCTGCACTTGGCGGCTAACATATATGCATGCATCATACAACTGGGGGGGGGGGCAGTGATAGAGAAGGATCCTGGGGGGGTCAATGGTGGAGAAGGATCTGGGGGGGGGGGGTCAATGGTGGAGAAGGATCTGGGCGGGGGGGTCAATGGTGGAGAAGGATCTGGGGGGGTCAATGGTGGAGAAGGATCTGGGGGGGTCAATGGTGGAGAAGGATCTGGGGGGTCAATGGTAGAGAAGGATCTGGGGGGGGGGGGGGGGGGTCAATGGTGGAGAAGGATCTGGGGGGTCAATGGTGGAGAAGGATCTGGGGGGGGGGGGTCAATGGTAGAGAAGGATCTGGGGGGTCAATGGTGGAGAAGGATCTGGGGGGGTCAATGGTGGAGAAGGATCTGGGGGGTCAATGGTGGAGAAGGATCTGGGGGGGTCAATGGTAGAGAAGGATCTGGGGGGTCAATGTTAGAAAAGGATGTGGGGGTCAATGGTAGAGAAGGATCTGGGGGGTCAATGGTGGCAAAGGATGTGGGGGGGTCAATGGTGGAGAAGGATCTGGGGGGGGGGGGTCAATGGTGGAGAAGGATCTGGGGGGGTCAATGGTGGAGACAGATCTGGGGGGCTCAATGGTAGAGAAGGATCTGGGGGGGGGGTCAATGGTAGAGAAGGATCTGGGGGGGGGTCAATGGTGGAGAAGGATCTGGGGGGTCAATGGTAGAGAAGGATCTGGGGGGTCAATGGTAGAGAAGGATCTGGGGGGTCAATGGTAGAGAAGGATCTGGGGGGTCAATGGTAGAGAAGGATGTGGAGGTCAATGGTGGCGAAGGATGTGGGGGGGTCAATGGTAGAGAAGGATGTGGGGGGGTCAATGGTAGAGATGGATGTGGGGGTCAATGGTGGAGAAGGATCTGGGAGGTCAATGGTGGAGTAGGATCTGGGGGGTCAATGGTGGAGAAGGATCTGGGGGGGTCAATGGTGGAGAAGGATCTGGGGGTTCTGGTAGATCACAAGCTCAGTAATGGCAGCAATGCCAAGCTGCGGGTTCTACAAATCCTCTCTTGTATTAGGAGGACCGCCATTTTGACACCCGTGCTCTAAAGGATGATGGCAATCCCTCTCTCCTTTCCTGAAAGTGTATCTCTTTATGTCTTCTACGTCTTTCCTCTTCCATGACTGTAAAATATTAATTACATTATCAAAAGACCACATGCATGAAACCACGCGATGGGCACACCATGTCGAGTATTTCCTAAATGATTGGTGCCACCGACTATATCCGGTAACATTAATCATTGTGTTTTGCTGGCAGGGAAGGCTACCCACCGGCAGAAGACAATAGCACTACGGGAGGGGTTCCCCCAAAAACACAGTCAAGCAATTTTCTTTCCTTCCACCCATGGTGGAAAATTGTACAATCTCTGGCCTGCCTCAAGAGACGACCCTTACTGGTGATCCTGTGCCCTTTGACCCATTTAGTGAGTCATTTTTCTAGCTCAAGTATGCTCATAATGTTCATCTTCTTCTTTCATAGTTAGTCTGGCTGAAAAAAGTCAGTTATAAACACGATTTGCTGTGTTTAGACGTGTTTAGCCGCATTTACAAGTGTTTAGCATTTGAAACGCTGATAAAATCGAATGCTGATCGCAAGATTTCTGCATTCAAAAAAACGACTGTAAACTCAAATGTCTGTAAATGACTGTAACCCCCCAGTTCACATCTATGTGGGTGGTGCTGCTGTGGATCCGCATGAAAATCCGTGCTGCCGCACGCACCACCCGCACAGAGAATTGCAGACCCACGGGTGGGTGCCATTAGTTCTAATGGCAAGCTGCCTGCACTGGGAAACACAACCGTACTGGGAACCTCGGCTGCGTTTTCCAAAGTAGTGCAGGGACTTCTTTCCCTGCGTGTCACGGGGCACGGGAGTCCATTCAAATGAATGGGCTCTTGTGCCCGAGCAAAACGTGGACCTCACGGCCGTATAGGTGTGAACTGGGGGTCAACGAAGATGTGTACATGAACACATAGGAAAACATTAGGGAGGGTTCAGGAGCTGCTGAAAATAAATGCAGAACATCTAAAACGTGAGTCTATCAGCTGCAGTATACGTGAGTCCTTAAAGTCCTCCTGAAGGCCGCCTTAAGGTCTACGTTCCTCAGGCTGTAGATCAGAGGATTCAGCAAAGGGTTAATGAGGGCATACTGGACTGAAAATATTTTGTTCATACCAAACATATTGCTGGAGGAGGGAACCATGTAAATGAAAATTAAGCAGCTATAAAATATGAAGACCACCGTGAGGTGTGAGGTGCAGGTGGAGAACGCTTTCAGCTTCCCAGTTTGGCCAGAAATTTGAAGAATCGTACTGAAAATACGAACGTATGGAATAAATGTGAAAAGGAAGGCCGAGAATGAGACTCCGCCACCCAATGCGAAAATAAGCACTTTGTTTATGAAGGGGTCTATACACGTGATCTGGAACAAGTGCGCAAGGTCACAGAAGAAGTTGTGGATGGATTTTGAACCACAGAAGGACAACCTGAGCAAACACAGAGTATGAACCAAGGAATAAATAATTGAGAAAACCCAAATCACAACGGCTAAATGACGGCACACCCTCCAGGACATAATTTGTGTGTAATGTAGAGGTTGGCAGACGGCCACGTACCGGTCATAGGACATAGCCGAGAGCAAGAGGAGCTCAGAGCAAGCAAAGTAGACAAAGAAAAAGACTTGGGCTGTACAGGCAGGGAGGCTTATTGACCAGCTTTTGGTGACCAAGTCATAGAGCATCCTTGGACCACTCACTGAAGAATAGGACATGTCCAGAAAAGCCAAATTGCTGAGAAAAAAATACATTGGGTTGTGCAGATGGGAGTCAGTGAGGATAAGGAGAAAAATGAGGAGGTTTGTGATCAGAGTCATCAGGTAGATCAGAAGGAAGAGTACGAAAAGTCCATTCATGGTGGGCGCATGGTCTGATAGACCCACAAGAATGAGAACATCAGTCTTTGTGAGATTCATCTTATTATTTATCCCTTCTCAGTGTAAATGTATCACCACGAAACAGAAATAATATGATCCGTCTGAGGAAATGGTGTTCCCACACCTAATGCCCAGGATTCCATATAAACATTTCATGGAATATACTAATATAAAATGTTGGCATTCCCCGAGGGCAGTCTACTGTGCTGTAAAAAATACAAACAGCTTAAAGTCTCTTAAGATTTATTTTTAAAACAGCTTTGTCGCTTGAGAATTCTCTTCATATAAATAAGATTTAAGTCATGTAATTAGATAATATTCTAAATAAAAATCTACAGAAATTCCATTCTTCTTACTTTCCACTGTATTATTTTGGCTATTGGACAAGTACAAAACGCTTTAAAATGAGAACGGTTACTGTTCTTCTGTTTACTTTTTTTCTTCTTATTTAGTTCCAAAAAAAATCGTCATCACCTTTATTATTATTATTAATTAATAATAATAATAAAATAGTAATAATAATAGTGATAATAATAGTAATAATAATAAAAAATAGTAGTAATAATAATAATCATAAAAATAAAAATAATAATAAAATAATAGTGATAAAAGTTTT